ACTTTGAAGAATTATTTCGTTTCTTACTGAAAACAGAATTACCAATTAGGCACTTTAGGTGTGTGTATATGATATCCCAACTCTTCCTAAAAGAATACATCTACATGCAGGAAATTGCAAGTCATGGTTGCTTCAGCCTTGGTATGGTGGCTTGTTTTGACCCTTTATTGCATGATAAAAATATGTGGATGTATCCTCGACTGTTTTGGGAGACTGGAGTACTCGGGCAGGTGTTGTACCTTGAAGCGCATGCAGTTGGCATTTCTGCAACAGGAATTGGTTGCTATTTTGATGATCCTGGTACGATCTCTTCCCTCACCTTCTTTTTGTAATGATTCCCAATCCTATAGAAATATCACATTACATGGTACATTAGACATAAGGACTGAATTGTGTGGATTTCAAAACTGTTAGTGCACTCGTCCACATTAATTGTGGTAGTTTGTGCTATAAACAAGTCTTTAAGAATGTTGAATAGAATTCAATGTCTAAGGTCATAATTAAAAGATCACTATGTATAATCACTTGTTAAATCAGAGTCATCAGCTAAATCAGGTCCTAATATACTGAAGCATGACTGGCCTCAGTAGAAGGCTGTTAACCAAAATATATTGTAATAAATATGACCATATCTGTATTTATATATGGCAAAGCCCACTCCATCGAGGCCTATGCTTTTGCACATTAAGCTGTATGCCTTGTCTATTTCAGAATAAGGCTTTTTGTCATCCTTTCAAAAAAGTCAAGACACATTTAGCCAAAAAGATTGAAATAATCAAGAAATTAGTTTGGACAAGAGAATAGGTGAAATTTATTCAGTTCACCCAGTCTGAGACTGATAATGTCTATGAATAAAGAGTATGCATTGAATTATCACCATAAACATCTTTGAGTTCTATAAAATTCAGACAAGTTACTGCTGATTTGATCTTGAAATGTGGTAAACTATGTCCTAATCACATTGGGCCGCCCCATAATACTCCATCTTCAAGATAAGATGCTCTCAATTATTTCCTAGAATGACTCTCATGAGTACGTGCTGACAAAGTCACCTAATTTTTTGCTATTCACCCTAGCTTGACTCACTCCTCTAATCATCAGCCTCTGCCTGATTAAGAGCACCTCCCAATTATTTCTTCAACAATCCTAAGCGTGTAGAATGGATACATTTCACAACACTTTGAAGGTAGAGTTGTTAAAAATAAATAATGCAAAATATGTGAAACCTGAACACTATGGGGAACAGGTTGGCCAGTCACACTCACATATATATGGGTTGGCAGTCTGTTCAAATAAAGCAAGTTTGGTTTCCCTTGAAGGCTCAGGCTTTTAACTACATTTGTAATTATATCTGATTATGCATGTAGCTGAATCACTCATCTTTTTATAAGTCATAGCTATCATAGAGATGGCCTAAGATAGTATTTTCAATTACTTAGGTTATGTGCTGTATGTACTTGTAATTTGTAAAGGATTCTGAAACAATTTTAAAGATGATACAATAGAGTAGATCATTCCAACATGTGCGCTTGTTGCAAGTTATAAAAGTGAAGCAAGAATGCTTTTAAAGGCATCTTTGCATATGCCATATGTGTTTTATTAAAATTTATGGTATTGTTGTGTTGCAGTGCATGAACTGCTCGGGTTGAAAGGATCAAACTTCCAAAGTTTATATCACTTCACGGTGGGAGGCCCAGTCGTTGACAAGCGGATTATGAGCCTACCAGCATATCCTGGCCCTGATGTTGATGCGTAATCACAGGGTTTTAATTATTCTTAGATATCCTTTTAAGGCTTATACCAAAATCCCCTCAATTGTCATGGATGTATGTACTAGAAGTTGCCTGCCAATTAGTTTTTAGTTTGGTAGACAAGTACTTATGTACCTCGTATTAGTTGAAAAAACTGCTGAGCATTGTAAATCTTTGAGAAGTTACATTCAATATAATGGTTTTTATGACGTAATATTCAATTATATTTCTTTTCACTCCTCTTTTTTTTTTTTTTTTTTTTTTTGGTTGAGAAAAGACGATCAATTGCATAGAAGATTAAGTGGGGATACAATCTTGAATGAGGGGATCCTGAACAAGAGCAGGGGCCTCACCAAACCAAGAACAATCTTGAAGCAAATGAAAGTTCTCACTCCTTAAACAGCTCGCTTTTGTAAACGTTTGATGAGCTTTGTATCCAAGCTGCTTATACAAATATGCTTTTGCCTTTTGGTGACAGCTTTTCCGGCAATTTACTAGTTTCCAATATCAGTTTTATCTCTGCTTGTTTGCTGGAGCTAATATTAGGTCCAACAATGACAAAGTAAATTCTAGACTAATTTCCCAAAAAAAAAAAAAAAATGAAAAAAAAAGAGAGCATGAAATTCAAAACTAAAAGAAATCCCCAATCAGCGCACATATTTAATAGTTCGGACTTCAGCCTTCATTGTATCATTGAGAAAGAAAGGGTAAAGCGAAAAAATGTTTGTTGTTAAGAAGTTTATTTTACAGAGTTTAAACATGTTAGATGGGGCTCAATGTGTGTAATTTCTTAATTTTATTCAACTAAGTTAATTGGATTAGACTATGAATTTAATGAATAAGTGCGGCTTTTTCAAGCTAGGCTCTTCTTAATTTTGGATTGAATAATTGGGCTTAACATAATTTTTATGTATTATTTTTATTTTTATTTTTTTTAATTTTATATATAGTAGTATACGTATCATGCTATGTAATGTATATATACAAACTGGAAACCCTGTAAGTTTGGAGGCTCTAGGCGGCCTCCTTTGCTTGCTTGTGCTCAGAGCCTTTCCTGATTATATAGATATATTTATATATTATTTCTTTCTATTCTGAACTATCTAGTAAGATAATATTTTCCTATATATATATATATGTGAAAATGAATTTTCATAGGACATGTAATTACTAGAAATAGTAATAGTTGGTTAGAGCATCCATAATGGGCTCCCTAAACCACATTCTTAGACAAAGTTTAGGGAGAAATCGTAAAAATGCAACTCCAATCACACTCCCTATCCACCTCCTAAAATATGGAGTCCTCTAGGAGCTCCTAAATCTGAGGAGAGATAAAGGACTTCTAGTGGCTCCTTATAATTTAATGCTACTTTATTTAATGAGTATTTCAAATTTTTATTTAATGCTAACTATTTTTTATTCTATTTTTTAATAGAGATGGACCAATTAAAAAAGAGTTATAGCATTTATGACTCTCCAAATTAGGGAGTATGGTTGTAGTTGAAATTTTTTAGAGAGCTCATAAAATAGTTTTCTTATATTCTTAGCCAAATTTTAGCTAAGAAATAGAGAGCATCGCTGTAGATGCTCTTAGTAGTAACACTCAAGTGAAATTAGACGAGCATTGATTAGGGTTTTAATTGTATTTTGGGTTGGCTTGACAAAAAAGAAAACACTTGATAAGAGGAAAATAATTGTATTTTGTTTGGGGTAATACAGGAGACTTCTCCAACAAAAAGAAAAATAATTGTAGTTATAAAGCAAATTGAAGCACACAACACAAACAGCATTTGTGTTTGGGTGATTTTTTACGGTGGCGACGACCTGGCAACTGAAAGGATTTGTTCGGTTGGTTTAATTCATCATGTCTGATAAAAATTTGAAAGTACATTATAATTAATCAGAATAAAATATTGGTTTTCCCAATGAGATTAGGAAACAGGAAACTATAAATACATATGTAGCCTGAGCCTTTTGTAAACACTAGCTACTGTGATTTAGGGTTTCCAAAATTCCCTACATACAATCTTTTCTCTTTCAAACGATCGAGACCCTTCACTTCACTAGCTACTTTCTCTTTCACTTCACTAGCTACTTTCTCTTTCAGACAAGATGAAGGCTTTGAAGGAACAGCGATGCGAGCGAGAGCCTCCTGTTGACGTTGACGTTCACGTTGACGATGACGACTTCGCTGGACTCGCTTGCCCTCTCGACGACCTTGAAGCTGTCGTCATCCTTGAAAGTGAAACCACGACTTTCGATCCCTTCTTGTTCGACAACGTCAAACTTGATGACCACAACATGGCAATTCAAGAGAAGCCCAAGAAACCACCATCCCACGGCAAAGGGAAGAATTTGGAGACCCTCCGCTTGGTGCTATGCGCACCACCTCCATCTTCTTGTCCACAAAACCCTACGGGGCCAACAAAATCTGATGCTCACCATCAACGGCAACACTTGGATGATGAAGAGAAGTTAGAGAATAGCAAGCGAAAGCTTCACCAAGGCTATCAAGAGTTCCAAAACAAGAGAAAGAAAATTCAACTTGTTGACGTCAAGAACTTGCCTTTGCCGTCTAAGCCTCAGCGAGGCCAGGTTTTGAGCGAGAACAAGCCGTTGATCAGTTCGAGGAAGTTCCCAGAGCCTTCTGATTTTTCGAAGAGCCAACAAAACCCTAAGGAGCTCACAAAATCCACTGATCATGATCTTCATCATCGGCAAGATTGGGATGATGAAGAGAAGTTGGAGACTAGTGTTCGAAAGCTTCACCAAGGCTATCAAGAGTTCCAAAACAAGCGAAAGAAAATTCAAGTTATCGACATCAAGAACTTGCCTTTGCCGTCTAAGCCGGGACGAGGTCGGGTTTTGACAAAGAACAAGTTTCTGACCAGCTCCAGGAAATGCCGAGCCTTCTGATTTCTTGGAGAACACGTTTCTTATTGTCTAGTTTATTCTTTAATTGATATCAGATGTAAGTACATGGTTTTTGAACCACAAAACGATTATAAGTACATGATTATAAGCACATTTTTTATTCAATTAATTTGTGATCAGTTTATGTACAATTGTAATTCAAGTTTCTCGACTCCAACTTCTCTTGTTCAGTTTTGATTATAAAGCAAACTGAAACACACGAGTGGGATATTTTGGTTTAATTTGAGCCATTTTATCCTATTAATTTTCTCTTTGCTTTGATCATTTTCAAGTTTTTCTCACTTCACTTCACTTCACAGCCTCTCTATCTCTCCGAGTTCTCAACCACAAAATGATTATAAGTATAAATGGGTTTTTGTGACAGCATTGCCAACCAATATGCCCTAAACCACATGTAATGTATGTTCATTGCGCATGACATGCAGTCATATCCCTTTTATAACCTTGAAAACTTTACCAGTATGACACAATACAATTGCTTGCTGGTATATTTCGTATTTTAAATGCTTAGATGTCAAGTACCCTTCCTGCAGTATGATGCCATTTTCAGGCCTCAGATTTGAACACTTCAGGATCAGGGTACCTTATTTCATTTTAAATTAGAAACTTTTGTGCCAAACTGTCAAGACCCTTTCAGGAAACTTCATTGTGCATCACTGGAGTAGGAACAGGGAATCTGTTGTACTGATTATAACCACACTTTTCCCAGACTTCCCCGCTGTTAGGTCCAGCAATGGCAATACCGAGACCCCACATCAACACCGAAGTTAACATTTTACAGCTTGAAATCTTCCCAATTTGGATAGCTGAAGCTGACTTCAACAAGTTGCAAAAAGTGAAGATGTGAGCTTAGTGATAGTAGGTTCAGGAAACAGGAACTCCACACTGTTATCCGTCCACTTCTTAGGAGCCACAACTGAGGCTTTCATCATCGTCAACCTTGCCGTTGGCCTTGTTCTTTTCCTTAGCTGCAACAAACTTTGGCTGAACCCAATTCCCTCTCCTTTTGGCAGCTTTAATCGGCTTCTCATCCAGATCACAGTAGAAGTGAAGTTTCAGATCATGCAGATGAATAATCTTAGTGAAAACTGGGTTAAGGGAATCCATCATGTGAGACAACCCATGCTTTTTTTCTTCCAGCGGCACAAGTACTCCAACCAGAGAACAGCCCTCAAGTCAAGATGGGATTGTGTGTTCATCAAGCAACAAAAGAGTTGTTGCTCAAAAATTTTCCTAGCTAATGACATTCTCATCCTCCCCACCACCACTAAATGACTTAGTGGGAAAACCTTGTATATCCTTTGTGAAGCCCAACCCAGTAAAAACTTTGAACCTTGAGCTTCAGCAGCATATGACCCCATGAACTGCCATTTTTCGTACAACTCAAGCTTATTTCCTGCGTCGTCATCATTGTCATGATCGCCCTCTTCTTCACAGCTGAAAGCAGAAGCTGAATTCTGCAAAGTTTCAACCTCTTTCGGGAGCTTTGAAAGTTCTTCATTAGTTGAAACAACTGCTTCAAGAGCAGTTCTATCACCATCACCAACCGTGTCCTCTTCAAAGAAAAGCACATCAATGTCTTTTTGGTACTAGAATCTTCCCCCAAGCACGAAGCTTCAAGAGGGTACACTTGCACATTCCATTAGGCCCAACCAAGCCATATCTCTTACCATGTTATCTTCACTGATGCATTCTTTAGAAGTTCCTTTCCCGGAGCCAACACAGAAAAATCTTCTGTTATTATATCCTTGACATTAGCATTGCCATCTTCACCATCACATACCAAAGATCATGTTCGAATAGCAACAGTTAAAGCATCATGATCATTTTTAAGGGCCTCCTGTTTTGCCTACTCATCAGCATGGGAAGCAAGAAGGTCCTTTTCATGCATTTTTAACTCGTCTGTTATGGACGCATCAAGGGGCTTAAAATTTTGTTTGTCTACATTTTCTTCCTCTTGTTCTTCTTCATCCGAGAAAGGAAGATCAATACCATCAGAATAGGGTGAAAGCTTTGGAGCACCTTTTGCCATTCTACTCAAGGGAGATCGTTTCTTGGGCTTATTTGGGTTTCTAGTCCATGCTCGCCAACATGGCATAGACTGAATTTTCCCTTTCTTCCCATCTTTAGAAGCATCTTTTTTCCAGTTGATTTAAACTTCATGGTTGCACCAACCTCTTCCAGTTGACTTAAACTTCATGGTTGCACCAACCTCCTCTGTCTTCTTCTTTCCCAGTGCAGCCGCAATCTGATAAATAAAAAGAGATTATTATTTCAACTACCTTCAACTGATGTTAAAGTGTTCGACTGAAAAAACAAACTGGCACTAAAGCAAAACCAAATGAGTATGTAATTGAATCAGCACATTTGAAGAAATAGTGCACAGTACCATATTTGTTCAAGAATATGGTTTTCATGGACAGTACACAGAAAATCCCTTGCAAAGTATGAGGCTTTCAACTTCATGTAGGGAATAGAGATGGAAAAGTGGAGGGACGGAGTTCACCCACCTATGCCACCATTTTTTATCCCCATGCCCACTATTGCAGTCAGGTCATGACCTACGTTTACCAATCACAATTTCTCAATCCTCCACATCAGTAAACAGCATTCGAAAGAGCCACGTGTTATAAGAATATTGAAAATGCATCAAGTTCGAAATTGAAGGGGCTACTGAATCCAAAAATGTCATTGCACTCATATTTAAATGAATCCAAGAAGAGACCCATGGAAAGCCCAGCTTTCCAATAATTAAACATAGTTATCAGGCTCCTAGTCTTCATTAGTAAAGGAAGAGAAGCCTTGTACATGAGGGCTCCAATCCCCTCCACAACAACCACAGCAAAGGCAGCAGATAGAATGTCCCAGTCGCCTGTTTGCCCAATCACAGTAGCATAAGCAGTTGCACAGTAGAAACCAACCAAGAAGAAGAGTACTTTAAATAGGAAACCTCTCCTTAGCTCTCGAATTTTGCCACCTAACTTGGTTTGAATAGCTTGGATAGCCCTAACTAAACGTGTTGTGCCAGTAGTGCCATTTGTTGGAGATGGGTCTAACCCACTGCTATCCACACTGCTTCTGATAGACCATGTCATCATCCTGTACAATTCAAAAGGAGACCCCAAATTATAGGCAGAGGGCAAATTTCAATAAGATTGCCTTAAAACTACTTTGTGGATTTTCCTAATACTAATATGTTTCAGTGCTATGTACTACTTTATAAAGCTAGCTTTCACAAATCTAAGAGTTTTTGACATTCAAATGCCAAAGAGAAGAAAGGAAAGCCTGGGTTTGAAACTAATTCTTAAAAAGCCATCATGTTGCAATAACAAGACACTCATTTCCTATAAGCACACCAAACCACGCATTCCTAACACAGTATCAATTCACATGGTAACTTACTTGAAATTGTTCACTAGCAGAGGCTGAGGTATGCAGAAGAAACAACTGCTAGAACTGAGTTTCAGGCGAAAAGCATGAGGAGGTTTGTAAAACATGGGATAAAGACCCAAAGCTATAACTCTGGACCTGACAAACTTGGAAGAATGAAGCTTAACACTTTTTGGATAGTTACCGGATGTAGCTGCAGCCGCCATTACCATGTAAAACCTACAAGCATCCATTCACTGTGTAATTCTAAGTATGAGAAATAAATTATAATATAACAAACATGAAGATTTATCCTCAACAAGGTATTCTTATAAATTTTTTTGCCTATACTGACCAGATATATGAATGTTGTGGGGTAAAAAATTACAGCCAACATCACAGTTCTAGAAATGTTAAACACATTACCCCACAATTTCAAAAACTCTCACAATCAAAATTTGTAGCCCAATTTCATTGACACGACATAACTTTCAGTACTTCAGTAGCCATTTTCACTGGCAGTTTTTCTTTCTTTTGTTCATTCACATGTGGCCTTATTTGTTGATCAGTAAACATTTCATAACTTGGAAATTAAACATCAATGAAACTGAACAGATTTTACCCACGAATTTCAGCCAAGGATTTGAATAATATCTGGAAAATCAAAACTTCTGGGTTTTGTTAATGGAAGCACCAAACTGAAACACACAAAGAAAATGCACACTTCACATGTAAAATGGGAAACAAAAAGGCGCCTGGTTCATTACTATGACGAGAAACTGATTTTTGGTGTTCAAACTGAACAAGGTTTCAAATTTGAAACTCTCTCACTGACTGTCTAGTGTTGAGGCAATTGACTGATTTCAGTTCAATTTGTAATTGAGAGTGAACAATTAGGGTAAGACGTGTTTGCTGAATTATTTTGCATTTCCATTTCAGTAACAAAATGCAGTATCTGATTCATCTGTAGCTCTATTTGCAGAGAAAAAATTACCATGTTCGGACTTCACGGTAATGAATACTCATGATTAAGAGACTAATTAACCGCATGAAAAGAAAAGGAAAAAAAACCCACCAAGAAAGAACGAAAGAAACAATCTTTAAAAGGGAAAAAAAAAACCCCAGGTCACGCCCAAGATAGCATACCTGCTTATTGGGCCGAACCCATTTGCCAGCATCCCAATCTTGATGCAATCTGAGACGCTCTCTCTCAAATTCAATCAAATCTGGAGGGTTTTCAAACACCACTCTGTAATTGGAATTGTTGTCACTATCTTTATAATCCGCATCGACCACATCACCCTCCTTAAAGTTTTGGAGTTTTGGTCACCCAATGGAGGCGGTACAGGCCTCAAGTAAGCCGAATCAACGTACTCTTTGAGCTGCTGCGAGCCGTCTTCGGTGACCAAGCTCTTGTACTCCACCAAGGCCCTTTTCCTCTTCTTTGAGGCTGAGTTTGTGGGACTTGTGACAATGGTCGCTCTGAACCAGGCTTTATCTCGCAAGTCCACAAATTCTTTATCGGAAAATATAAAACATAAATGTGTATGTTGCATCTATTGCAATTGACAAAGTAATATTTGAGAAAGATTAAATTGCAGAGAACCCAGAAAGAAAGTAAAAGAAAAAGAGAAGTTTATTCTTACAGTTTGAGATTCTAGGTGAAATGAGCTGGGATATTGAGCTGTGAAAAGTTTTGAGCCTTTCCTTGCTTCTTCAGCTATGGCCGTTCCCGTTCAGATCAAATGACCTTGGTTTCTTTATCTTATATATTTTATGCATTTTTCCTTTTATTTTCTTATTGGGTTTTGGTCACACTACGAAGAAGCGCAAGGAAGTGAGCATTTGGAGTTGCAGTGGAAATACAATTTATCTCCTTGCCTTCGTTTTGGAAGGCACAAAAATCTATTGGTTCAAAATAAAGCCATTATATATGGATGTAAATAAGCAAAATGTATTTTTTATTTTATAAATAAAGCGATATTATGAGAGGACGGAATGGAAAAAAAGAAAAATTAATTTCCTTCAAAATAATAATAAAATAAAAAGAAAAAGAAAAAGAAACAATAATAATAGTATTTTCCAAAGTTAATATTAATATTAAACAAAAAATGATAATAATAATAATAGCGTCAATAGAGTGGGGCAACTTATCATGCTGATTATTAGACATCTGAAGCTAGGAGAAGCATGTTAAAAAAAAAAAAAAAAAAAAAGAAGCTAGGATAAGGGGATGACAGTAATGTTAGTAGAAAGGGCATTTACATAGCCGAGAGGGTCTAACCCAAAAAAGAGTCTTAATTTGCATACCAGTAGTACAAGTGTTTGAGAAACCTTTTTGCTATTGTAATTTAAACGGGGTCTAACTCAAAAAACAGTCTTGACTTGTATATCAATAGTGCGAGAAACCTTTCTACTTTTATAATTTAGACGATCCCTTATATTAAAAAATATTTGCACAATTATCATGTTAACGTGATTGTTAGATGTAATCAAGTGACGGCTATAATTGTCAATTAAGACATGATTATAATGAAAAAAAAATATCCATGCATGGCCGACCGTTTAGTGCTCGGTGTATTGATGGGTGCAAATAAAAGACCCCTTTACGTAAAAATGAATGGGCTGGAGTTGCCCAGCCCACTGTGCTTAATTTTGTCAACCCATGTAACTCCCCCACCCAAAAAAAAAAGGATAAATTATAAATTCTTTTTCTATCAAACAGTGAAAAGAAAAGGACAGAAAAAATGCGTTTTATAGTAACCGATATGGCGATGTAGTATTGGAATTTGGAACAACCCAAAGTTTCCAATTAGGGCTTGCTGAGCCTGATCGTACACCCACCCAGCTATCACACTATTCTGGTCTCGCAGAGAGAGAGAGAAAGAGAGAACGATTGGAAGAGTTGCAATCGTACTCTTAGGGTTAGGGCTTTGAGAGGCGTCAGGATTACGATCTCCGTTGAGGTTGAAAGGGGGGGGGGGGGGCTTGTATTGGGTAAGTGCATTTGGTTATGACGATAAGCTGAAAATCAGTGCAAGCAAACAGAATTTAATGTATTTTATGTCCTCTGAATGATTTGTGCTGTTAATTAAAAATATTCTACTGTGTTTTAGGTTGAAGGCTGTTTATTATGTTTGCCAGATGCGGTCTGTGGCAGATATGTGCTCCTAATAGGTTAGCAGCTCATGCCCATTTCTCATTTTTGCAATTTATGTTTTGGGTTCTTCCTTTTTTCCTATTTTAAATATCTGTCCTGTCATTTCAAGTTTTGTTCTTGGATTGTTATTTGTACCCATTTTCTGAATTTTTTCGGTATGAATCACTGAGAATTGTATAATGCTTTTTTATGTGAACCATTTTATTAGATTATGACTAATTTCTGTAAATTAACTGACTTTTTTAGGACTCTTGCTTGTAATTTGCTCCTAATGTTCTAGTTACGTATTTTGGGTGATCATATTAATTTCAACTTATTCATTCAATCGTTGATGTGGTGGAGCTGGTCATAATTATTAGTTACTTCTATTTTAGCATCGGTTGTTTTGTGTGATAGTCAAGCATCTCTCCATGTTTTTCGTTTTTTCTGTCAATCATAGTGTTAAGTGTAAGGACAATCTTGAGCATAGGAAAGTGAAGATAATGCATATCATGTAGTCGTGATACATTTAATTACATACACATAGAAAGGCAGGTGTAATGGTAAGCCTTAACTAGATTCCTGCATAAAAAATAAAAAAAATAAAAAAATTAGCCTCAAGTAGATTCCTGCACTAAAGAAGATCATATCTTATCATAGTTATCATTCTACAAGCCATCAATTGACGACTGCAGAAGAATGGGAGCTGTAATTTTGAATCATTTGTGTTTATAGTGTACATGCGTATACGTTACATGTTCCCCATGCTTTTCCAAGATATAAGGTCAGCAGATTCTCTGTGTCCACATATAAGGTGTCAATCTGGAACTGATACCTTTAATGTTTAGATTGTGGAGGTATTTGCTTGTTTATCTAGTTTGTATATCTAAGTTATAGGGTGTTACTTTATGTTAGAACATGAGAAAGAAAGTTTAAACATAATGTTTGGTTGTCGATTTTACAATTGCCCATATAAAATGTCCTGTCAGTTTCTGAAAAGAAAACTAAAACAAAGATTGAGTAGAAGTACTGTGATAAAGTCATACAAGAAGTGCTTTCTAAGTAGCATTAGTACTTCTACTGGGGTGCAATGCCCATTTAGGATCCTTTCTGGGTAGAATTTATTTTCTGATACTACCTCATACATGTCAATGCTTCATTGAAGTGTCCAAATTCTGGAAAATAAAATTGTAATCTTCAAAGATGTATTATTCATGGTGGATTTTCTCTTATACAAGAAATGGTATATGTTAGAATTTGAAGTAACAATATAAGAAGAGTGTATGGCATATGTCTTGGTTAGGGATTCTAGCATGGATTTGTTCATGAGACTTGTCTGTCAGTTTATGCAAACCTATCATTGTCAGGAAATTTTGTTCAGAATTCAATTCTTTATGCATAAACCTGGGAACACACATCTTTATTGAGTCATATTCATAAGTGAATACTTGTTAATCTAATGTCTATGGACTAATTTTTTTGATATATGTGTATGCTGGATGGAAGAACACAGCAGTGCTATCGTACTTTCGGATAACCCACATTATTTTTGTGTCATCACCTGATTTCAGATTATGCAATTAACACTTACGCTGAAGTTTGCAGGTTTTGTAGTTTTGGTGTTTTTTCTGAAGAAAGTCAATTTAACCACTCTTTTTGGAAGTAGCTATGCTACCCACTGGAGCAAGAGATACTCAATTCCGTGAGAGCAATAACCAAAAGGTTCATCCACAACCCATGGAAGAGGCCATGAATCAGAATCCAGAAGCTGTGGAAGCCTTGATATCTAAGGTTTTTACGAACATCTCTTCCCTGAAGTCAGCTTACATCCAGCTCCAAGCTGCTCATACTCCCTACGACCCTGAAAAAATTCAAGCTGCGGATAAACTTGTAATTTCTGAGCTAAAAAACCTTTCTGAACTTAAGCACTTCTACAGGGAGAACAATCCCAGCCCAGTTTGTGTTTCTCCACAGGACTCCCGCCTAGCTGCAGAGATTCAAGAACAACAAATTCTGCTGAAAACCTATGGGGTTATGGTTAAGAAATTCCAATCTGAAATCCAGAATAAAGATTCTGAAATCCTTCAGCTTCAGCAGCATATTGAGGAGGCAAAAGAGAAGCAAGCAAAGTTAGAAAAGAATCTAAAGCTCAGGGGCATGTCTACCAAAGAATCAGAAGGTTCCGCTGATGAAAATGGTTTTCCGCCTGTGGATCTAACTTCCGATCTCTTCACATCAGTTGTTGAAGCTGCATACAAAGCTATTCATGATTTTTCTAAGCCGCTGATTAACATGATGAAGGCAGCTGGGTGGGACCTTGATGCAGCAGCCAATTCTATTGAACCCAGTGTTGTTTATGCAAAGAGACCTCACAAGAAGTATGCC